ATAGTTATTTTTTTAAATATGAGAAGGCCTTGAAGTTTACCAGAAATGTTGTAGTAAAACCTACAATAATTGTTGTAAAATGTTTTGAAGATTACATGATGAGCCATGATGTAACAATGTTTTAAAAGTAGAATTATCTATACCATAAGGGGCATTGAAACTAAGAGTAAGGGCAATATAGTATAGTGCAAGGTTTTCAAACTCTGCTCTATTTGTACCACGTAACACCTCAGTGGCTCCAACAGAAAACTTACCCCATCCCCAGCCCTGCTTCATCAGAGCAGGTTGATTTAGTGTGAAATGAAATGTGCTTCTGCATGTGGGTGTACCCTATGGGAAATCCTATGAGCCTACTTTCTCATCTGTGAAAAACCTGCTTTCAGTATTGTGATATTTAAAATGTTTTGAATGGAAAATATGTAAAACTTGTCACCATAGTAGATGATCATAAATGGTGACTATAATAGTATTGTAGTTATCATTATTGCTATCAGTGTGATTATGTAAGTATGTTAGAACACATTTTCAGTGTCTGTCTCCTTGAAGCCACTGTTCAGTCTCTGTTTATATGCTTACCTATAAAATAGCATATCTGTTTTTTAAGTTATTATCAGCTTCCCTTCTGCCATAGCAAATTGAAATATTGGCAGTCCTCCAATTTTTTAAAAATTGTTTTTAGTAATTTACTGAGTCCATATGTTTGGATTTCCTTTTGAGCCTATAAAATTAATTACTTCCTTAATAACTTTATTTAATAATTGACACTTGAAATATTAGGAAATTTAATCTAAAACCTCTCTTTAAGCAAAGGATAAGTATATTCTGCCATATAATTGATAAAAGCAGGCAAAATTTGTAAATATAACATCTGTAGCTTTTTAATTTCAACACTTTGAGTAAACTCCAAATAACAAAAGCCTTTCAGTTTTTACTGTAGGAAATTACTTATCCTATTAGCTTATCAATAGCATGTGTATATCTATATGTTTATTCTATTTACCTCTTTTCTTCACATAGTCTATATTTAATTTTAAATTAACTAAAATTACTATTTCCAAAACCAGTAGTGTATTCTGCAGTGTGTTCTACTGACTAAACAGCTGCTGCTGCTTATAAAATCACCAACACCTTTGTTTAAATTTAGACAAATTTTTTTATATGTTAAATAATTTATAGAAATGTCTGAAGTTGCTGTTTATTGTGATCTTAGATTAGGGAAATCATTAAATACTATCAACTGAACCATTCCTTTTTACATGACTTTTAGTAATCAAAGAATTATGTAAAATAAAGGGGAAATAAATGAAAGAAAAGAAAGGATTTATGTGGGACTAATTAGAAAGTCAGTGTTAAATCTGAAAGAAGTATGTGAGAAATAGACTGATGTATAATGCAAAACTTATTTGTTGTCATAGATTTTATGTTAATGCTTAACATTTAGTATGCATAGCTTATGGGACTAGCTGTTTATAACAGCATCACCTTGGATATTCGTTTCCCTCCTTGCTGTTACAAGAAATTATTGAGCCCTCCCATCGTTCCTAGTGATCAAAGCATACCAGTAGGCATCTGCAGTGTTAACATTGACGACTTATGTCAAATTATGCCTGTAAGTATAAAGTTAAGAAACATCTTGTCCTTAATGCTAAATCATCTTTCTTCTTTCTACCTGCACGTTCTCTCTCCTGCTAATGCTATTCTTTCTTTTAAATATGGTTTTCCTCTACCTTTATTAACTCATCTCTTCTTTCAACCAACTTTCTCATTCCTTAAAGAAACATGTCATTCACTTTGCAGGACTCCCAAGCTCTGTTCCCAGTAGAACAGACTTTGAAGTCAGAGAGGCAGTGATTTGAATCCAGATTCTGCCACCTATTAGCTCTGTGAACTTGGATAAATTATTTAATCTTTCTGATCTCTAATTTCTTTATGTGAAACAATGGGATAGTTTTTATTAATAATTAAAACCAATGATGACAATCATATCAAATCTATGCCAGCCTAGATTTGTGTGAAAATTTCTGGTTTTAATTAAATAGAAAATTTATTATGTAAAGTATTTAAAATCATTCTAACTATGCTATTATTTTTCTAATTTAAAATAAACTTTAATTTTTTTCTTAAGACTTAAAAATTTTTTGGAAATACTGGGTCAGTTTTTCTATTTTTAAATTCTTATTCATGGATAACTTGAGTTATAATGTAAGAAAATATTTTTCCCAATGTTTTCCACTTTTTCTTGGGAGGGGAGGGCACTTTAACTGAAATGTAGAAACTATTTAACATGTATGAACTGTGTGTTTTGTGTTTAAAAGATGAATCATAAGACATTAGCATATTTTTCTAAGAATATAAAGCGAAAGTGGGAAGTATTTCATAAACAATAATGTGGCAGATAGCAGTGAACTATGATGGAAACTACATTAGAGATGCACTTAGCTTGCTGCTGAAGGATAAAGCCCAGAGTTATGCCTCTGTGATTTGAACTGGGTTTCCTTTTCTATGACCTATAATGAATTTTTCCAAGCCTCTGGATGGCAGAAATCACTAACCATTTTGTGCCTGGAAAATACATCTCAAATATGATATTTATTTTGAAATCTGAAAGAGTTTACTCCTTATCTCACATATAAGTGAACTATAGTAGATCTTCTTAACTATTTTTGGTAAAATGCTATTTGATTTTAAAAGACATATAATAGATTTCTTTTTATAGGAGTTGGCCCATGGATTAAGTGAACTCTTAGCATACGAAGGCAATGTTGAAGAAGATTTCTATTCAACGTTCCAGGTACTATTAAGGGAAAATGGATGTCTATTAACCATGTATTTCATATATGGAAAATGCCATTTGCTATTAAACACCCACTGTTAGAAAAGATGAATGAGAGTTAATCAACACATACAATTCCTTGTCTTAAAGAATGTTAACCTGATAAAGTAGAGATGGTGAAGCAGACATATTTAGATGAGCAGTTAGTGAATCTGCTTAAAGAAATTCACCAAGGGTAAGGGTACTGTGTTAGGCAATTACATGTTCCCTTGATCCAGTTACTTTCTCAGAGCTCTTCAATAAGCCTCTCCTTGTAGCTTCAACCCTAGAAGTTTGCAGTAGAAGCTAATGGGTCAGGTCAAAACTCTTTCATTTCCATTCCCCTTACAATAGTTGGGAGATGGAAATTACAGTGATCCACCTAGCTCCAAAGACCTGAGTAGTATTATCTAGATAATACAGCCTTTCTGTAGTTTGTATAAGGGAGAGGAAAAAACCTATTTTACAAATGTGTTCATTGAATCCTATTTTATCAATCATACCAATAAATATGTGTGATGGCATTTCCCATCAGGTTTTTCAAGAAGAATTTGGAATAATTAAGTCCTATAATTTGAAGCCAGGTGGTGATAAAATTCCAGTTACCAATCAAAATAGGAAAGGTAAGTTCATGTGTTTTTTTAATTAAAATTAATTAGTATTTACCATTTACTTTTACTATTTAACACACATAAAATTGCTTTCCAGAATATGTACAGCTTTATATTGACTTCCTTCTCAACAAATCCATCTATAAGCAGTTCTCTGCATTTTATTATGGATTTCATAGTGTGTGTGCTTCAAATGCTCTAATGGTGAGTTTAAAACTTTAAATTGAGTTTTAAGTTAGGTTTTGTAATACTATAATAGTGACAAATAATTTTTAAATATTTTCATATATAAGCTTTTAAAATAGAAAATGTTTTCTACTTTTCAAAAATAGAGCTAGAAATAAAAAGTTCTCTAGAATGCTCTAGGGAAAGTAACCCCAGTCAGTTCATTTTTCTCTCCCCTTTTGCTATGTCTTTAGAGGATTACAAACTTTTCCCAAGTAGAGTGGATAAAGCGATCCATGAACTCAAGGTCTTAATACTGAGGGACAAGGAACAAAAAAAAGGAGTTAACGTGTAGCTCCAAGGCAAAAACCACAACAACTTACTGATTAAGGAACATATTTATAACTGCTGCCTGCTTCCCACTGTTTCACATATCCCTCAACAATTCCGAGTTGCCTTTTACCCATAGGAAGTAGTTTATCTTCAGGGTTGTGGTGGACTTGGGTTGGTTTGACTTGTCTTAGCCACGTGAATATGGGTCGGCTTCTACTTAGAATACCATGTCAGAAATATCATATGCTACCCTTCACCCCAGCTACCCAGGGTCTGCTCCATCATGCCACTTGTATCTCCCGTCAGTTTTATGATGAGGGATTGGAGTTTGGTTTTTCATTTGAATTATCTTTCACAGGAGAAAGAAATGGACAATAGAGGTTACTTTGGGGCAGGAATAGGTAGCTTACAGTCTTTCCAGCTTGTTTTAGAGTAACCTTTGTAATACGTTTGTTTTTGAAAGTACCTTTGAAAAAGAAGCACTTGATTGAGCTCTAATTAAGTTTTGTCTGTGAAGCTCTGGTAGTTACTGGGGTTAGAGAGAGGGGAAATAAGAATTAAATGGCATAACATGGTCTCTGTTTTTAAGAGCTTTAATCTCTTTAGGTGGGAGACTAATCCACTTAAAAGGTGAGAAAACAAGCAAGAGATACAAATAGATTGTACCCAAACTCTACAGCACACAGTGCTATGGGATTATTGGAGGGAGGCGAGCAGATCAGTAGGTTCTGGAGCTTTACTGTGGGTTTTGGGGAAGAGTCATTTGCATTCGTTAAGTCATTTGCTTGTTTTTCTGTCAAACTACTAATTACTATTTTACAAGATTTATAAACCTCCAGAAGCAAAAATATCTTGCCTCACAGGGAAAAATATGAGTGGAGAAGATTTTTTCTTTGACAAAAATTGTTTGATTTACTGTAAGAGAAGTCATGGTTTGTGTGATTTGATTCAGTGAAAATAGTTCCAATTCCATTTAAAACCATCATTTTTAAATTATCACTTTTGATAAATAATTATTGGCAGCTGCTTTGTCCAGAAGAGGTTGAAATTCTGGTCTGTGGAAGTCCTGAACTGGATATGCATGCTCTGCAAAGAAGTACTCAGTATGATGGCTATGCAAAAACAGACTTAACTATAAGGTGAGCTCTTTATACTTCTGGTGGTAGGGCTGTGGAAAAGAAACAAAAAGGAATGTGGTTCATTTATTTTTATAACTTATAATCTTTGAATCAGTCAAGTTATCTGAAATATTGGAGAGTCCCATACTATCTTATTTAATTTCTACAAAGTATTATGAGACTATTAAATATGAAACACTTAGCAATCCCCTTGGGAGAAAATTATATAAATAAGTTTCTATAAAAGTTTAGTGATTTGACTTAAAAAAATGACTTTAGTCCTAGAATTTCAGGGATGATGTACTTATAAATAGCATTTTAATAATACTGTTGAAAGATAAGACTTGTAAACTGTATAGGAGAAAAATGACTTCTGTACCTATCTACAATTGGGCTACTTACACAATTTTATAAAAATGTTATTTTATAATGTTGGTCAAAATCCTAATTCATATATAAAAGCTCATCATTCTTTCATTTTACATTAAGGATACTATGTATGTTTAAGGAAAAGTGTTTTCCCTTAGAGTTTCCTTTATATTATTTTAGTATCCTATAGGATTTTTGTCAAAGCGTTTTATGTAAATTTCTCTTGGTGTTCTCTAGATACTTTTGGGAAGTTGTGCTTGGATTTCCTCTTGATCTTCAAAAGAAGTTGCTACATTTTACTACAGGAAGTGACAGAGTACCTGTAGGAGGGATGGCTGATTTGAACTTTAAAATCTCTAAGAATGAAACTTCTACTAACTGGTAAATTTTTAGATTGTAATTCTATTTTTCATCTATAGATTATTGCTAACACTAATATTACATTTGGAATCAAGAGATTTATTCAGTCTGAAGTCATTTTCATAGAAAAAGTATGGCCTTGAAATAAGGGACTTTAGGTGAAAGTTTTTGATACTTGTTAATACTGATAATTTGTTTCCATAAACTTTTTACTTTGATAAGTCGAATAAGTGCTTTCTAGTCTCTTATAGAACCTGTTGTCCACCCTTAATTTTTACTTAAATATATTTTTATTTTTAGGAAAAATAATAAATTGGGGTTTCTTGTTTGTTTGTGAGTTTTTGTTTTGTTTGTTGGCTATTATAATAAGTACCGCAAGTACTTCTAGTACTAGTCCTGTTTGTTTTTTAATCTCATGCTCTTTGCATATGAAGTAATGGTGATGATGGATTTAAGCTTTTTTCTAGTAGTGTTAATGAATTAATGCTGATCTACTTACTCCCTTTCCCAAATACCTGATAATATGTAAAGTTAATTTCAGTGGACATAACTTCAATTATAATCATTGTTTTCTCCTGCCCCATACATTGAACATTACCTGTCAGTTCTTCCTTTCATTTTAGAACTATAATCTGTCCTTTGCTTTCCCACTGCCACCACCCTGGTAAAGTTATTTTGACCTCAGTTCTAGCTCATTTAAATAGCCTTCTTTCTGGTTTTCCTACTCAGGGTTCTTCCCTTTCTAATTGTTTTATCAAATTCATTTTCCTTACCATTTTTTTGATCATGATACTTCTTGGGTAAAAATAGCTTTATTGTTCCCCACTAGTTTAAGTTCTAGAATCTGGAGCCTATGAAATAAATCTCTAGTCATCTCCCTCAGCCTACCTACCAATTTTCATTTCTTCCCATGTTTGAGTCAAATGGCTGTTTTGCTAATTCTTTAAACACATTTTGTGCCTTTTTTCCTCCATAAGTTTAAGTTGTTCCCTTTACATGTGGCATGTGCCTGGTACCTCTCTTGAAGACCCAGTTTAATATTGACTTCCTCTGTAAAGTCAAAAATCTTCATGCCTTCAGTGAGTTCCTCAAATATCTTATAGAAGTGATGTGCTACTTATCATATTACATTCTATATCTTAGTCATTTAGTTCTTCAAGGCAGAGGTTATGTTTTACACGTCTCTGTATTCTCCATGTGGCCACACATGGCAAGTGCCCAATAACTATTTCCTGAATGAATATTTAACATCAAGATTATATTTAAAACACAAAATAGATATTTACATATATATAAACTGAAGAAATTTCTGAACAGAATTTACAATTAAAGACCGAAAGTGAAAAAAATTCAGGAGAAGCCTTTTGAGATTACAGATTTACTTGCTTAACAGAAACTAATTTTTTCAGAATATTTGTCTTAAAAATATTGCCGATTCAAAAAGGATAGTCTGAGTAATCTGTTTTAATACAAAGGTGGCATTACATGTAAACTTTTCCAATAATTATTATTATTTCAAGGATTATTTTGTGAGCTAACATGCTTGTTAATGAATCTAGAGCAACTTTAGGACTCCGAGAGGGAACCTCACATATGTTAAATACAGCAAACAATCAAAGACACATAACATTTCAATCTAATGCAGTAATGGTGTGCCTCAAAAGACAGGGACAACACTCCAGCTGAAAAAGAAGTTTCCATTCCTCTTACAAGGTCCACCATTGACAATCCACTGGATTTGTGTTAAATCTTTACATATTAACAACACTGGTTTTGAAGTCAGACCAATCTAGATTTTAATTATCGGATCTACATCTTTATCAGCTCTATCCCCTTGAACAGACTACGTAACCTGTATATTTCCATGTCTATTTTTCCTCACCACTTTTTAGATTGTTTTGAGGCTTAAGGAAACAATACATGTAAAAGCACTTAGCACAGTGCTTGAGTCTCATAGACCAAGCACTCAGTAAATGCTGATTCTAATAATTTTAAGGCTTTTAATATAAGGGGACTCTCAAAGTTCAGTTTCTAATTGTACAAACTTCTTTAAAAATATTCTTGCTTTCTTTGGTGTATTATTCATTTTTATTTATTGACTAACAGCTATTCTGTTGCTGTGGAGTTATAATGACAGCTGGAAAGGGTCCTATGGTATCTGTAGAAATCCTGAATGAAAATAACAGTGTCATCATGTAGTGGGTTGGGAGAGCTGATGAAAAGGATTCAGAGGATGAGTCTTACATATGCATCAAGGGGCAGCAACATTAAAATTAAAAGTGAAATTAAATTTAAATTTAAATTTTAATTAAAATTAAAAGTATCCAGATATGCCCCAAATGCTCTTTTTATTACTTTTTGACATTAAAGACTGGAATATAGTAACATTATATTATCTACTACTCTGTCAGGTGTTTTTTGTAGATAGCTCTTTTAATCTTTTAAATAATCTATTTGGATGTTTTGCCCTATCACATTGATGGGGAAACTGAGATTTGGAGATATTAAGCAACTCGAACAAGGTCCCACAGCTCATAAGTGATGAAAGCAATACTCAAATTCAGATCTGACTCCAAAGAAATGCTTTTCAAATGAAAATTTCATGAGAGCAGGGACATTGACTGTCTTGCCTGTAAACATAGCCTTGGTGTCTAGAATGGTACCTGATACATGGTTAGGTATTCAGTAAATATTTGTTCAGCGAAGGAATGGATGAATCGTATCGTTGCACAGTAAAATAGATTCAAACATGTGTGTCTTGGTATTTTGAAAAGTTGCTTAGCAATCATTTTATGTGTGTTTTAAAACTTAGTATTTTTTTTAAATTTCCTTAGGTTACCTGTGGCCCATACCTGCTTCAATCAACTTTGCCTTCCCCCTTACAAGAGCAAAAAAGACCTGAAACAGAAATTGATCATTGGAATTTCAAATTCAGAAGGCTTTGGACTCGAGTAACCTAGAAGACTTGAAATATAATATTTTATATGTAGCATTCACTTCCCTCTTATTGTGCCTTTAACCTTTTCATGTTTTTGTCTCAAAACAGTTTCACAAAGCTCACCAACTTTAAAATACTGAGTTTTTTTTAAAATCAAATATGAAGTATGTTCAGCAAGGGGATAATTTTCTAAAAACACAGAAATTGCTTGAGTGAGGAAAAGACCACATGGCAGAGACAGGTATGGGCCAGTCCCTCTTTTTATAGCACTTTATCATTCTCTGTAAGTTTTGTCACAAATATTCCACTGGGAAGACAAAGCGCAGTGAAGAATGCATTTATGACATAGTGGAACCCAGTGGCAGATTGTGCACGGCTAGCACATATTAGCAAAGCAAATAGCTACATTACCTTTAACATAAGGGATGTAGCCATATTTTCATATAGAGGGAAACAATAGTATAATTGCAAATGCAATTTACAGGGTTTTTTGATATACTGGATGTGGTCCTACAAGATTCCTTTTAACTGTTGCTGAAAAGCATGTAAATAACATAAAAGCCTGAGAATAATGGGATTTTGATAGTGCCATTTATTGCTAAAGATTTATTTTTACAAAGTAAATTCAGGGTTTTAGATGTGTATACAGCTTTTACATATCAATAAAGATGATTGTATAAGAGTATTTTCAGACTAATTGGGTTCAAGGTTGTATTCTTTTAAGTATTGTTAGTCTGCATGCACATTGGCAGTAAACTAGTTGAGTACTCTGTAATATTTGTATAATGATCATTTCTTCTTAAGGGTCAAGATATTAGAAAAGAAATCAAACCTAATTATTGATGAATTATGTCAACTACAAGCACAAGAGAAAAGAACTGCTTTTATATATTTTGATTGATGTACAAGACTTATAGCTACATTTTTGATCACCAGTGTACTGAAACACTAATTTTTGGAAAAGGGTAGGATAAGGCATTTGACAAAAGTGAATACAATGATAGCATTTGTGTCAAAATGATATAGCTTGATGTAAAAATAAAATTCAGCGTTTTGGCCAAAATGTTTGTTTTTCACTGGATTCTGAATATAGTCGATTCGAAGTACCCTCTTTTTTCAAGTTTCTAATAAAGTAGCATGTAAAAAGAAACTGCATTTTAAGTCAGATAGTAAATGGGCTTTTTTTTAATTTATAGCAAATGAAGCAGTTTTATTAGCATATTACAAATATTTCCAAATCAAGACTTCTCTACTATACTTTGACAGCTTTCCTTCAGAAAACTCTGAAGTTATATTTGCAATAATAATGAAACCAGCATTTAGTACCAGCATATGGTTCAGATGTAAATAATACTTCCCAAAATTTTTTCTGGGTTAGGCTGTCTTCTTGTTGGTATGCTTCCTGCACCCAACCAGCAGCATTCTCCAAGGGTGGAGGAACTAATCAGCTTTTTCTCTAACAGTTCTGAAGCCAACCCATAAATCTTTGAGGAAAAGGAGTTACTTTGTTTACCATTCTCTTTGAGACAAAAGTGACTCTGCTTTTCCATTTGGGTTTATTATTTCAAGGGTATTTCTTCTTAAAAATCTTGGAAGGCCTAAGAGAGTTAAAGGCATATTGGTTTGGTTTTGCTCTGTTTTTAGTCTGTATGCAAATAAAACTGCTTCTCTCTTACATTGCTTGAAATAGAAAGTAAGCTGTTTAATGTAGGTTGCTACTAATAAGCACAAAAGAATCATGTATTAGAAACCAGATTTAATTGTTTTAAATAAAATGTAAACAAAGTATTTGGTAGAGATGACTCATGGAAATACTGTGTTGGCCCAGTCTGCATGTTTAATGATGTGCTTGTATATCGATAGCTATGTCACTTTTAAATAAGTACACAAGCAAGCCAAATTTTAAAATTACAAAGTCCATAAATAACTGGAGAATTTTTGTTGTCTGTTGTTATTAAGTTGAAATTTATAACCATTTATCACTAAATTGCACATTGCCTTTATTTATTTATGCTCTGTTTTTGGTTTACAGTGTAATAATACCTCATTTAAAAAATAAAAACCACTACTGTTACATTTTGTTAATTTAAACAGCTAGAACATTCATGTAGTTACTTTTTATATATATAAAATCTGTTAATGAATTCTTGATTTTTGTATCTGCCACAGTATAATTAAAGCATTGCACAGTATTTATCAGTATTTACAAAATTTCTTGTCCTTTTTAAATATTTGCTTAATCATATTTTTGTCTATATAATCAAAAGTTTTTAACAGTCCCTCTTTTTTGTATAAATCTGTATTGTATTAAGTTAATTTCTGGATGAAATTTTTCAAATATTAAAATTATACAGTTGGTCAGGCTTCAGTTCATTTTTTGAACATTAAGCAATTAAAACCATAGGGTTAAAATATTTTATAAATGCAAACTGTTCTTTGTGTTATACTATCTATATCTTAATCTGGTGCTTAGGAAGATGGCTAACACATAGCTTCAAAAGATGTGAATTGTTGATATTAAGTATAACCAGTTTCCTTAGCATATTTTCAACCTGAAACAATGTATATCCAACATTTGGATGACCACATAGGTAATCCACCAAATGAATGTATTAATATAATGCCAATGGAGTACACTCAGAAGTGAACTGAACATGAAATTTCATGGGCCATAGCTAGACAACTTCAGCTCTTAAGTATTCCTTTCCAAAATCATTCATTTGGCCTTTTTTCCCCTTGTCCAATTTCCTATGCTGAAGGAAGGGAGAGAGGAGATTATGAGAATGTTGATAGAATGTTACAGGTGATTAATGGAAGAAGACAGGTAGCTGAATGGAAGAAAGACCCAGGTGGGTTTTCACAGAGGAGGACACAGGATCAGTTCACCCAGCTGGCCATATGTCCTTTAGTCCTGTGCTTGGGTTTTGGAGCCAGACTATGTGGGTGTACCACTTACTAGCTGTGTTTCCTTGGGCAGATTAAGTTCCCTGTGCCTCAAATATAAAACAGAAATAATTGGTAAAATGGAAATAATAAACCTACCTACTTCATAGGATTGTAGGGAAAATTATATGAATTACTGTGTAAAGCATTTACACCATGTCTGGCATATATTTATAGTAAGCAATATAAAGTGATGCAAGACAAATCATGTTGCTAATATGATAACATCTTAGAACCATTGCTTTTGAAGCCCCCTAGAGGTTTTTGGCTGTCAGACACTGGGTCCGACCACAGGTTAAAGAACACAAAATGCTTTTGAAGTGTTAAAATTGTATCAGGAGAATCTTATTCTAGAAATAATGTTTTAAAATTTATCCTTATAGATGTCTCACTATGCAAGAGTTTTAAACACTATTTTATAGATGTGTAACAAGATAGAAGTTTAAATTTTAAAAATGCAGTATATTTTTAAATATTTTAAATATACAGAACAATTTCAGAGATTAACATAATAAAAGACCATGTCCCCACACTGCCATGTAACAAATGTTATTAACATTTTGCCAGATTGTTTTTTTAATTAAAAATTGCAGGTGGAATTGAAGCCCCTTTTGTGCCCTCCAATCCCGGTGTACTCCGTCTCTGTTCCCCATCAACTTGTGGTTTGGGTGAATCCTTCCCACACTATCTTTACGTTTGTATTATAAATGTACCAATCTGTAAACACTATGTAGTATTGTTATAGTTACATACATAATATACTCTACATATCTTTCCACTTTCACTCAATATTGTCTTTTCTAGATTTATCCCTATATTTAGATATGATTCATTTTTAACTGCAGAATAGAATCATTAAATGCATGTACCACATTTTGTTGACCCATCCTCCTACACATCAACATTTAAGGTCTTTTCCAGTGTGAACCAGGTAGTTCAAAATATTGCACTTTGTTAATAGTCATCATTGGGATTATTCATGCTTTTACTTTTCATTTCTTAAGCCACTTATCCAACACCTTGAACATCTATAGGATATTAATTAAAGGAGCAGAGATGAAAATTTATGGATCACTTACAGTGTATGTGGCATTTTATGCATGTGATTTTATGTTTAATCTTTACAACAGGATAAAATTGATATTATTGTCTCCACATTACAGATAAGGAAGTTGGAATTCAGAGAGGGCTAGAAGGTTGCCAAAGATAACACAGCTGTCAGGGAACCAAGGCAGAATTTGAACTCATGTCTGTCTGACTCTGAACATCACAATTTTCCATGTTACATACTCCCCCAACTATCAAGGCATGCCATTCATTCCCAAGCTTTAATTATTCCAATGGAAGCAGAGAAAACATTTTCTTGCTGATTAGACCAGGAGTAAGTCAATCTGGATTCTAGTCATAAATCTGACCCTTAATGGCTGTGTAAACAGGGCTGATTGCTCTATTTACTTCCCTTTGTTTCCTTCTTTGTCTTAAAAAAATGAATATCCTTGGAATTTTAAAATATAGTACAAAATGACAGTTTCTTCTGAGTCAAGAAAGAAATTATATCTGTACTAACGACTGCATATAAAACTACGGCAGCAAAAACTGTATGGCTGACTACTTGGGATATGGGCAAAGCAGTATTTATGGGGAGATTTATAGCTCTAAACATTTTTATTACCAAAAGGTAAAATTAATAAAAGTTCAAAGAGGAGGGTAGGTAAAGGAAAATAAAGAGAAATGAAGATAAAAGTATCAATAAATAAATTACAAAACATAAAAACAGTATGCCAGACATAAACCAAAGAGCAGTTTCCTTGAAAACACTGAAAAATGGATAAAGGTCTGGAAAATGTTAATCAGGAAAAAAGGAAAAACACAAAAGTAGATATTGAATTCAGTCACAGCAACAGAGGAATGCCACAGAGCCGGGATGCTCCTGCTTTCAGACGCCACAGTTCAGGCACTGCCTAGAAGAAAACTGAAGTTTGATAGGAGAGAATTTCAGAGGCTGATTTCACAACACCTTCCAGAAAATGGTTAAGGATTTACTTTTGGAAAGAAACTTTACGTTGGACATATTCATCACACTTTGGGACTCCTTCCAGTTCCACTCTGTCCCTCGCCCCTAACCTCTGCTGTGACCTCCAGTCCCAGATTTCAGCAGCCTCTGGGCAGCTCCACCTGAGGCTCCTACCAGCTCCTCAAAAATGTGGCCACACAGCTCTCATATGCTCCCCTCCCCCACTTCCTCCTCCCCATCCCCTTGTCCTGCTCCACTTTCTCTTTCATATAAATGACAGCATCCACCTGCCCACTCCAGCTTAACCCAAGGCTTTGTTTTTTAACAGCTCTTCTCATTCATATCTAAGCAGCTGCCGAGCCCCATCAATTGTAGACCCACAGTGTGCCTGTTTACACTGCTGCTGCCCTAGTCCAAGCCTTGACCACCTAATCAATGCAGTAGCTCTCATTTGGTCTCTGTGACTAGTCTCTTCCATCTCAAATCCACCGACACACAACTTACCACCACATTGCTCAGAAACCCTCATGGCTCTCTATTGCCGACAACACAAAGTCAAAATACATCATCAGCCTTTGAAGACTTTCCATTGTTCAACCCAGTTTGTTCAACCTTAGCTCCTACACATCTCTTTCAGATATGTCATAACCCTCCCAAACAGCACAAAAACTTGTCAGAAACCCATGACAAGAGTTCTAAGAGAAAGGATTATTAAGAAATTATTTAATGTGTACCCACCTAAGTTATCCTTCAAAAAAAAAAGCCAAAAATATGTTTGGGCATGCAAGAATTTAAGGAATGCAGCCCTCAAATGCCTACCTAAAATAACAAGAACAAAAAACCTACTAGATAACAAAGCCCAAGTATAAGTAGATGAATTCTAAACATAGTAAAATAGAACAAAAGCAAACAAAACATAGTATGGGGCAAAGGAAACGTGCGCATTGCCATCCTCAGCAGAGGAAAGGATGTGGTTATGGGCTTTAAATCCCACTTCTGAGTCTAACTAGACCTAGAATTAAATCCTCCTGTGTCATATGCTAGTTATGTGACCGTGGGAATATACCTCAATATCTTGAGCCTCAACTCCCTACCTACCTACTTACCTACCTATCGTCTAACTATACATCAATCATCTAAGGCAAAATGGATCCTCCCAGAAAGTTTCAAGGGCCAGGCCTAAAAAGCACTCACCACTTCTGCTCACACTGTGTCAAAGACAACTGAGTGACACAGAGAGGCAGGCTGGAGTCTCAGGAGGCAGATGCTAACAGGAAGTTTGAGGGCTCATAAAGTTTCTTCAGAGTTAATACCTGTGAAAGGAAAGAGATGGAACGTAGAATTGAGCAGAAGGAGAAGTTGAACCATGACATAGTCCTGACAAAACAATAGCCAACCCAGTGCAGAACTCTGATGTAAATGTTACCCATCAGAGGTGTTCTCTACCAGATCAAAATGGTTAGGGCACAACCATGCCTAGCTGCAAAGGAGTCTGAAAATTGATCCAGCTGTGTACCTAAGAATTGGGGAAAGCAAAGTTTGATGACAGCTGGCAGCCAAGCAGGAGCTCAGGTCATTTTCTACAGACTGATTTGACAAAAGAGCCCTGTTCTTGGGAGTTTAATGGTAGAGCAGACAGTTTGCTCCCCATTCAGACACGTGTGTTCTCCATCTGCTAGAAACCTGAGCAGGGCAGGTGTGATGGACACCAGGAACCTGACCCTAGCAATAGAGTCTGTGAAGTGCCTAGAAAGTAGGTGCCTGACTGACGTGGCTTCCATCTCCAGCTTTTGTTGTTGAATTGTGCTTCTTTGAAAGTATGAACTGTCCCAACCAGAGCCCAACTCATCAGTGCTTGGAGTGATTTAATAAGTCAAAGGAGGGAGAAGAGACGTGGGCACTGAGTTACACAACAGTCCTTGTTTATGCATGATCCCATCAGCCTTGACCTCCGAGGTGCTGGAGAGCCGACTGTCCAAGAGAAAAATCCAAGCCCAGTCCAAGAGAAAAATCTGGAGACCTAGGCATAAATCCCCCACGTTGTATCAAGTGACCTACTTTTCTCTTTTGGCTGTCACCTCTGAGGTTCCAGTGGTCAAAGGAAAAGTTGGGAAGTTCTCTGTGATGTCACAGCTGAAGATAGAGCTGCCAAGCCCTCCCTGCTTTGATGCCCCACAGGACAGCATTGGGAAATTCAAACCAAACACAGATCCTGACCACCCAAGGAGAAGGCCTGGGTTAGCGGCTGGTCATCCAGAATCCCCAGGGGACCAGGATTGGGGTACCACCCCCACCCACCGGTGATCCTGAGCAGGGAACCTGTCACACTGCCAGCCGAGGGGGGTGAGGGACAGGTGGGCTGCACAGGAGGGCCCCCCTCCCCCTCCTGACTCCCTCATTGGTGCCCGGTCCCAAAGCCTGGCAGAGAGTAGATGCCCCCATATCTACCGAGGTGCTGAAGGCCCTGCAGCAAACCCAGAATGTTCCTTTAAGGGTCAGAGGAACCATCATACAACTAGGGCAAAAAGACCATCTTTTGCTTAGACTGAGCCCACCCAGAAACCTTGGGCAAGTGACCTCACAGAGCTTCCGTGATTCAACCATGCAGTAGGGCAACTGCATCAAGTCTACCTGCGTGTCTGGGAGACTTTTAAATCTGAATCCATGGACTTCCAGTTCCACACACATGCTCCTGGAGGGCAGTAGGTGCTTCCTGTCATTTTCTTTTTGATTGCGATAACCTAAAAGGAGTTCCACACACAGACTTTGGCTCGCCCAGAGGACTGTGCCGTGCTGAATACTGGGTTAGTTTCTGGTCATCTGGAACCATGGATGTGTCACAGTTTCAGACACAGGGAGATGAATGAAAGTGTGCTAGCTTCCCTTGGCTGCTGTAACAAATTAGCACAAATCCAGAGGCTTAAAACAACACAGATGTATTATCCTGCAGTTCCGGAGATGAGAAGTGTGAAATGAGTCTTCCTGGGCTAAAATTAAGGTGTGGAAAGGGCTGCATCCCTTCCGGGGGCTGGAGGGGAGAATGTTCCCTTGCCTCTTCCAGCTTCTGCAGGCTGCTTCCTAGTTTGCAGCCCCCCTCCTCCCTCTTCAAGCCAGCAGCAACGCAACAACCCCCCCACCCCACCCCCCCCCACCCATGGCCCCCATCCCGAGAGACGCCCCTACACTCGCTCCCCTCCCCCATGCCCGGTCGCCCCAAGCAAGCCCTGCAGCCCGCTTCCCGGCTGGCCGCCCCCCTCGGGCCCCGCGCGCACCGAAGCTCCCCCCCACCCCCACCCCCGCCTCCCTCTTTCACATATAAGGGCCTCTGTGATTACACTGAGCCCACCCGGATAATCCGGGATAATCTCCCCATCTCAAAATCCTTAATTCGATCCCATCTGCCAAGTCGTACTTGCTATGTAAGCTAACAGTCACAAATTCCAGAGACTGACTGGGACATGGACATCTTTGGGGATCACTATTCTGCCTCCTACAGAGGCTTTTTCACTGTCTAAACAGTTTAATTGAAGAAAAAACAAAGGAATAATAATAAGGAACAGTCAAAATAGCTTATTGAGTCTTTTCAATTTATTCATGGATTTCCTATAACAGTCCAACTATCATTCCTATGATTCTTTTTAAAATTTATCAATATCCAAAGTATTTGAACACCAATTTCAGATGTTCTTCTTTTCCCAATATAGCAGAAGTAACATCAAAAATAAAATAAAACAAGCTTTATATACTTCTCTGTTTCCTCCCTTTTCTAGGTTTCTCAATGCATTAAGAAGACTTTTCTTGTTAAAAGGAATAAAATAAACCAACATGCACTGACATAGACAGATGTCTAAAATACACAGGTAAATATCAAAAGCAACCTTCAGAGCACCGTGTTTTCTGTGATCTCATTTTTATAAAATGATAGATTTATCTTTGTTTGCACAGAGAAAATACCCACAAGAATATGAGCCAGACCGTCGACCGTGTTATGCTGGGGGCTGGGAGGCAGGAGGAAGGAAGCACTGGGCTCCAGCAGAACAGAACTTGACTTCCGAAGTCATCATTTCTGGAATGTAATATGTAATAAATTCATTTTTTTGTAACCAGGAGAAAATTAGGACAGTGCTTGTTTGTGTTTAAAGACTAAGGGGATCTTCTAAAATATGGCTTTTTCCGGAGAGTAGCATCAAGCGAAACTTCAGGCTGCTGCTCAGCCCCTCTGAGCCTTAGGGCCCCACTTGTGAGTTCTCCCCGTTACCCCCTTTCCGAGCCCTCCTTAGAAACTGCAGACTTGCTACCTGCCCCTGGAATCACAGGGAATGTAGGTCAGGTAATTAGTAACCAGAGTTTATTTACTTTGGAAAACAGTGCACTCAGGCAAAATAGGCCAGTTCCCATTGCGCAGGGCAGAATCCCAGAGCTTTTGAGAGGGAGGGAATGAATGCAAGCCCCTTGTTGTACCCTGAGGCCCAGAACTAGGTCAGCAGCTAGCGAAGAGCAGGGCTGGGATTCAAGGCAGTTCTGGGGCATCCTCCTGCCACAGGACTGTGCCCCTGTCAACTACGGACTAAGACCCTTCCTGGGATCGCAGCCTGGATTCCTGAGAGTTTGCAGTAATGGCCCACCCACGCCCCGCTTCACCTGGGCTGGGACACCAGAGACCGTGAGGGGTGACGGGGGGGCGTGATGGGGGTATGTGTCACCCAAACAGCTCAGAGATGCACATGTCACAGATGCAGCACAAGTCTGAGGGGCTGGCCTACTCCTGTTGCAAACTCACACCATCTCTGTTAATGCTGTAGTCCTGACAATTTCTTAGGTAGCTTACAGCTCCGTGAATGTGGAGTTTTACAACCAGGCTATTCTCTGGACCAAACTGAATGTGATTTGATTCCTGGACCCCAGAATGGTTCTGGCCAGTGAGAAAATCTGTGCAGACAAGTGGGAGCATCTTCCAGAAATCACCATGGGTGATCACCCATAAGTGTCAGGTGAGCTAGAAAAGTCACCCAGAGACTCAGGATAAGGTATTTGCCCCCCAGGCTCACCAGAGGCCTGGAGTCTGTGTAGAAAAGCAGCCCAGCTGGTGACCAGCCCGGAGACACTGCCAGGCTGTGTCTCAGCGGACCCTTTGCTGGCGTGAGTGTGGCCACCACACTCTCCCCCAGCCAGGACAAGGCATCGGCAGAGGACGGTGGGGACACACGGCACTGGTGAGTGTCACAGGTTGCTTCTGTGTGTGACTCCCAGAGGCCAGAGAAACACAGGCTTTCACCACCTGTGACCAAAGCCCAGCCCCACAAAGTCAGTAAGCGCCATCTCCAAGGAACTCAAGCGCTAGTGACAAGCCACAGGGATCCAGCCGCCTCACTGCTCCATTCTCTCCCAGGCTGGAAGCACGTGCTTTGTTCTCGAGGGGTGACGTGAATAGGAAGGTGAGCACCTGTTCAGAGTCAGCCTCCTTTCACCACCAGAGCATCTCCTCCAGAGCTGTCTGGAGTTCTCAGCAGCCCCCCTTTCTAAGGACACAATGACAGGGAACCAATCGACTGTTCTCTGCACCAGAGCCCTGGTCTACCTGTTCCACCCAAGAGCAGAGAGCAGTTCTTGATAAAGAAGCTCCCCGCCCTCCGCTGGCTTATAAATGTGTGATAAATGGGGAGACACCCCGCAGGTCTTCCACCTAGAGTCTTGTTTGAAACAGCAGGAGTTGGAGTATTGGGAGGATGCAAGAGAAGACCCGAGACTCCAGGAAGGACTGTTTCCCAGTGGAGGATGTTGTTCCTTCTGAGCTTCTATAACACATGCTGGGAGGCTATGGTGAAGTCATTTTTGCACCACTGAAGGTTGATTTGCCGACGTCCTGCTCTTTCTTGCCTCTCTTCCTGTGGCCAAAATTGCAGGGAGGATGGAGCCCACAGAATCAGGGACCCTCTAAGCTGGCTCAGAGACTCAGAGCCAGCCAGGAGAGAACAGTCACATCCTTGGGGACTTTTTAAGCAAGATTGCAAAAAGAGACAGATGATCTTATGGCAAATAAGGCCTGAAAAGCTCCGGTTGCCTTCTCAAGAGAGTAACTGCTTTTGCTGCATCAGATTCTCAGTTGCACTATCCAGGGTGTGCAAGAAATCAAGAAAAAGCAGGCAGTCTCCTGGGTCCCAGACCACGGTGGCAGCCTTCCCTCTGCTGTCTGCCCCCAGGAGGGGGACAAAGCATCACAGCAGTCCCTTCGCTTCTCCAGGCTTGAAGATTTGACTGTCTAGGGAGTGAATTATGGAGGAGCTAGCCTAGGCTGGGGCCCTGGGTAGGTGCAGAGAAAGGTGTAAAGGGAGGCCTGGGGCTGGGCTGGCTCACCTGGGACAGCCCAGTGCCCTGGGCAGAGAGGCCCTGCGCTGAGGGGGCTGCCCTCAAATGAGGCATCTAGACGATGGCTGTGCACCCATGATTTCATTTCCTTTCTGTAGTTTCAATTTTTGAATGTATTGCTGGGAACGCACAATAGCGAGCGAGCTGGGCGAACTTTCCTTGTGGTCTTGTGCGCGTGTGCCAGTGCATAACCTGCAGGGGAGGGGAGAGAGGTCAATGTCACTGCAGCGGCACGGAGGGCACGGCCCGAGGACAGTCCTACCCAGACCGTGTCAGCTAAGCACAGAAGTGGGCAGGAGAGGATCCGCTTCATGGTGCGTGAGAGTCCCCGGGCTATGCCCACCTGGCCTCTTTGCAGAACCTCAGGGTTTCCAAGCCCCAACAAGTAGAAAAAGTCACCCATCCCATCCGGCCCCTCCGCACGCGGCTGTGGGAGGAGTGGACAGCCTGTCCCATCACACACGTGTCGAAGGCCGCTGGGCTCCCCTGGCAGTTTGGCCTTTGCCAAATGATTCTTCTCTTTTCAAGATCTCTTGGAGCCGTGTCAACTTGCAGCAAGGCCTGCAGTTGTGTCATTCCTGGCCCTAGACAGTTCGCAAGAGGGTTTTGCAGCCCCGGCTCCTCAGTGCTGATTGGCGGGCGCTGGGCCACGTGGTGAGGATGGCTGCTGCCTTTCCTGCCGTCCTGGTCCCCTTCCACCTCTGCTGGCTGTGCCGCTGCCTCTGACGAAGCCTCTGCACAGCACTGAGGATAAACCATACAGACAGCGGGGTGACAGCGGGGCGAAGCCACAGTCTTTCTGGCATTTCTGAGAAGACAGTCCAAAGAGCAGAAGTGTGAGCATGGGGGGGGGGGTGTCTAGGAAGCTCCTAAGACTGTGACTATGGGTTGGCATCAACTGTCAGAGCCTCTTATATCTCTTACCCTCCGCACTGACTTTCCCTATTCCTCCCTAAGTCCCTCTCCACGCAGTTAATGCCCAAAGCACCAGAATTCCTATCGCCTCCTTCCCCCGCTGAGATCTGTGTCCCAATTCACTCCCCTCTGCCAATAAGATCCCAGGCTCCTTCCGGCTAGTCTCCTGTGCCCAGGGACTCTACAGGCACGTTTCTCTATCGTCCAGCTCTGAACCCCAGGCAACTTAGCGTGCCTTCTCCGCTCGCTTGGCATGGGGACACAGAAAACTCCGAGCTGGACTAACACCCTGGCCCTGCCCTTTCAAAGCCCTCCACCTGGTCGGGAGGACGGGACTGACGCGCTACTCACATAGAGCTCAGGGCCGCGTGCACGGTGGGAGAGGCTCACCGAGCCGCAGAATCCCGCGAAGGAGGGGTCACTTCCAAGTGAAGGCTGGGGGAGGATCAGGAGAGGAGAGAGACGAAGGGCAAGGACTCTCGGGTTAGGCCAGCCAGATTTAAATCTTCCTTCCCCTTCTTGTGTGTGGCTTTGCACGTGTCCACATAGCTGGGCCAGTTTCAGCTATAAAGTAGGGATAATAATACCCTCAATCCTCAATCCTTAATGCCTCAATCCCACGAGCCTTTGAAGACTTCGGGAGACTGTGTGTTTGCTGCTTGCCTCCTTGAGGAGCGTTATTTTTATCTCCACAGAGGAGGCAACAGTGTTGATTTCCTGAGGCTAAGGGCTACAGCAGGGTCCAGGAGCCAGAAGACCTGGGTTTGATCCTGGCAAACATGTGGCCCTTATGAAGTTGAGTCTCCTCATGTGCACAATGGAATGACAAGAGGACCCAGCTCAGAGGGCTCCTGGGAGGACTAGATGGAACCAGCTTGTAAAATGAATGGCACAAGGCCTGGCATTTATTAAGCACTTGATAAATGTTGGTGACTGCCATGGCTTGGTAGCTCATGCAGCCTAAGCTGACTGGTAGGTGTCACTCACTGGCCAAATCTCAGATAGCCTATGGGAGGCACAGGGTGAAGGTCTCATAGGGACCACAGCCAGGGCAGCCTCCGCCCCAGTGCCTGACGAGACCACTCCGCCCAGTGTTGCAAAGACTTCGTGGAAATTGCTGTTTGCTTCACTGATTTCAACACCCAACCAGTTGGCCCTACCTCCATCGCCTGAATTTCAACCTATTTGTCTGAAACTTTCTTCAGACAGAATGTTTACATCTTGAGCAATCAATGGCATCATCAATGCTCCACCACTCCTCAATTCGGTCCCTCTAAAGAGGGGTTGGACTAGGAACTTGACTTGCGCAGCCATGATAACACAATAATAAACAATCTCTGTCAGTTTATGCAGCATCTTTGCCACACACTGTCACAGTCTATCCCCATGACAACCCTGTGGGCCGGTGGGCAAGTATTGTCCCACTGTGGTGAGATGACATGGACCTCCAATGGCCACTCTAGGTCTCCTAAACTGGCGTTGCTTGGGGTCAGTGACCTGGAAGGGGACTCATCTGGACATGTGGTGTGTATGATGGGGCTTGATTAGAGGGTGAACAGATAGCTGCCCCTGGGGGCCACCAGACCTTCTCCATCATCCAGTTCAACTCCCTCATTTTACATATGTTAGAGAGTGAGGCCCAAAGAAGGGAAGTGAAATGATCAGTGCAGAGCTGCGAACAGGACTCTGGTCTCCTAATTCCTACCTTTGAGATTTTCCCAATAAGCCACCACACTGCCCAGAACATTCTTGTTTGGTAAATTTTTAATAAAGTTTAAATAAAGAGCACCCAGATCAAGAAATAGGACATCATGCTAGAAGCACCGCTGTATTTCCTGGCACACACTAGAGCCTAAGGATAACTACTGCCCTTATTTCTAACATCTTAGATTGGGTTTTTTTCTGTGTTTAGGTCTTTACATAAATTGAATCATGTAGTATTAACATTTGTACCTTTTTTTTTTTTTTTGCTCAACACGATGTTTGTGAGATTCTTCCATGTTCTTGCATGTAATTGTAGCTTATGGCTTTTTGTTTGTCACATGGTGTTTCATTGGGTGAATGTGAATACATATTTATCCATTTTACTGTGATTGGACAGTCAGGTAATTTCCAGTCTGCGGCTACCACAAAAGGGCAGCTATAAACATGCTTGTATATGTCTTTGGGATTTCAAAGTCATGGAGTATGCATTTGCTCAGCTTTTGGGGCTAATACCAACTGTGTTCAAAGGTTGACTAATCCTCCATCTATTTTAAGGTGAGGACAACTGAGGCCCAATGAACTCAGGTGACTTGCCCCAGGTCACACAGCCAGGAAGGGGCAAAGTTGGATAGGTATTCAGGTGTCCTGGGGCCAGATTCATGTTCTTCCTCCCAGCCCATTGCTCCAGGCCCTCGAAGACGAATCCCCAGGCACCGGCCTGAGTTTCCAGGCTCACTCCTGTCATGCCCTGCTGACCTCTCCTCACCCCATCATGTTCTTTTCCCGCGTTCTGGAATCTTCCTGGTTGTCACAGCACAAAACAGAAGCAACATGGCAGCGGGCACGGCCATGCTTTCGTTTCCTCTGGAAGGCCAAAACCCCTGGCTGGGGACGAACCCAGCTGCGGCTGCGACTCCTGCTCTGAAGATGGCCTAATGAGGGCCCAGCTTAAATAAAAAACTGAAAGACTCCAGCAGGGCTTCTCAGCGTCTTTGTGATAATAATATGCATACTTTCTAAAGGGAAAGTCATTTTTAAAGCTTTTTCCAAGCTTTTTTGTCTCTTTTTCCCAAAGCATACTTACTGTGTCTTGATTAATAGCACAGGTGGGAGATGTTGGTTTCATGAGCCAAAATCAACCATGATTAAGGAGATAAAAACAGGGACTCCTTCCTGGAAAGAAAAAAATTAACTCCCCAGAAAGGTTCAGCATGAGCATGGGATTACCCTGACTATAGGCCATGCTCAACACCCAGTGCACGGAAGTTGGTTATCACCCACTTAGCAGCAGGTGAAGCGGGAGACAGTCAGCCACATTGCATTTTCCAAAGATGCCTGCAAAAATCTCTCCCGTCCTCCATTCTCTTCTACAGTGCGACCTGGCCATGCCCCCACCAGGAGGTGGAGTTGATGTCCCTTCCCCTTGAATCTCAGTGCCCTTGAGACTACCTTGACTAATAGAGTATGGCAGGCAATGACACTGACTTCTGGGGTTGAGTCATAAAAAGTGACGCAGTGTCTACCTTGCTCTTGGAATACCTCCAGCCATGTAAGACATCTAACTACCCCCAAGGCCACCATGCTGTGAGGAAGCCCAAGCCACATCAAAAGGCTACAGGGGGGTGCTCTGGTCAGGAGTCAGGTCTTCAAGTCGTAGCAGCAGGCACCAGACAAAGGAGCCTCAAGAAGGTTACATCCCCCTGTCGAGTCACCCTAGCCTTTCAGTCCTCCCAGCCGAAGTCCCTGATAGCATGCAGGAGAGGCAAGCCATACTCTTTGCACTGTGTCTAAATTCCTGGCCCATAGAATCTGTGAGCATAATAAAAAAAAATGTTGTTGTTTTAAGCCACTAAGTTTTGGGGTAGTTTGTTATGCAGCAGTAGCAACTGGAACATGGGTGTATATAATATGGGTGAGCGAGCATATTTAAATTAAGGGTGTAGGTTAGAATCAATGTTCTCTTTTATACCAATGGGTGATTCTCTCCCCTGTGCTTTCTTTGATTAATATACAACCTTTTGGTAGAGGACGCATTTATTCAACAATATATATTAAGATCCAGCTATTTGCAGGCCCAAAGGGATAAAGCTCAGATGTGGTACCGCTCCCATGAATTTTATATTCTATGTTGGACACTTAATCAAATGCTAGTGTCCCACAACTGGAAGTAATCACCAGGAAGGAGCAGCTGGGGGAGGAAAAAGGCAGAGAAACCCATGGCAACCAGGAGATAAATAAAGTTCTGAGTGCTTGAAGCCACAGAGACAGTAACTCAAATGGTTTGAAGCCGGAAATGATTTTCCAACCAGCTGTAAATTTGCAAACCCCATATGTGGTACAACATTAAGCTGCTATTTTGGAAATTCTTTCATCTTTTTCAGAGGCATCTCAGGAGCCCATCCTTCCTCTTGGAAGACAGCCAGTTCTCTGCAGAAATCACTTCATCAGCGGGAGCCGAGGCATTTTGCATGCAACTGTAGTATTCTGGAAACATGGCTTAACAAATCTTCTCTCCTGGGTGAAGAAAGAAACATCTCAGAGCAATGTTTCTGTAAGCACCAGCTGGACAGCTTTGGATGCACTTTTTTTTTTCTTTTTCCCCTTTGGCACCTGCATTTGAACGTAATGCAGCATTATTAATTTCCTTAGAAGAGTGAGGATTCCACTTCTGAGTCACTGGGAATTTCTCATTATCACCAGCGACCATTGCACCAGTGGGTAGTCACAGTATTCTTGTAGATGTTCAGTTCAATTGATGATTATTTATTGAGCATTTGTACCAGACACTGCATCAGGAGTTAGAGTAGTGAGCAAGACAGAACTCACATTCTAGCTAGGAAAGCAGACGTTAGGCAAAAATTGTACGTGCCACAAAGGGAGAGGAAAGGGCAGGGTACACAGAGAGGTGAGGGAGAAGGAGGAGAGGGAGGTGGTAGCCAGAGGAAAGAGGAAGAGAGAGGAGCTGGGGGAAGAAGGTACAATCTCGGTCTGGCCACTGGAGAGAACTTGGGGCCTTTGATGACCTGATGGAAAACCACCATGGCTGGGGAGGCAGGAGGGAGAGCCACGTGATACAAGAGTGAGGAGCCGGCAGACTGGACTCAGAGCCTTGGGAGCACATCGAGGGTTTGGGTTCTTATCGGAAGGACAATGGGTACCACTGATGTATTTTAAGTAGGGAAGTGGTGTGATCACATTATTGTCTTGGAAAGAACATTCTGGCTGTAAATTATGGGCTGGAGA